ATGAAACAGAACATAATATAGCAAATACCTAAAATATAAAAATGAAACTGAACAATTACACTAGCTATATCAATGTTGGCATGAACAAATAGAGAAAAAATATTTCAGTGATTTTGTGGAAAAAGTATTCTGATTATGTACTCCCACCCCAAAAAAACAAAAAAGGAAGGAAAGAAGGAAAAAAAGGAAGGAGAATCGATGGAAGGAAGGAAGGGAAGCAGGTGGGAAGGAGGCAGGAAAGAAAGGAGGAAGGGAGGGAGGGAGAGAAATAATAAAAGCAAGTAAGGCAGTAAGGAGAGAGAAGACGGCAGGGCAGAGGGAGAGAATGTGCAACTGCATATCTAGGACTAGGGATGGAGTGGGAATTACAGTATTGCTTCTATTGTTATAAACATAAGGAATAAGCACCAGACTCAGCTGCGATCCTAGGGTCATGATTGGATACGTGATGAGTATAAATATCCTTCCCATTTGCTGTCCAAAGTATCTCGCTTCACAGCTGGACCCTAGGTCTACCTGTGTGTCCTAGGAAGCAGAGTGAGTGGGCCTCCCTGTGTCCTAGGAGAGCCGAGAGAATCTTGCTCTCAGGCAGGCTGCTTAGCTGAGGCCTGGAGGTGGCAGCTTGGTCTTCAGGAAAGTCCTGGGGGAGGGGTGGGGAACAGGTGCAGCTGTGCCAGGGGAGTGTGATATTAGGGGGACATCAGGAGTAAAAAGTGTTTCGATTTGACAGAATACAGTAATTTTGGCGGCAGAAAATGAGAGGGGGCAGCTCTATCGTGTGTACCACAAGCAGCCACAAGGCAGATTTCAGTGTGGTGTAGGCAGGTCTGAACCACTGTGCCTGTCCCAGGTGGTACAATAGTAAAATCCAGATTCATTTTCAGTTACATTTTGCACTATCAATTTCGAGCTCCTCATGATTGCATAGCTATCCAACTTCCCTGGACTGATTCCTGAATCCAACATAACCCTGGCGTTGTAGGTGTCACAGTACAGAAGACGCTGTGGGGCCTTCCCCTCCTGGTGGAGGTACCAGTGGATGTGTCTGGTATTTTCTCCAGGAAGATCACAGGTGATTACAGCAGATGACCCTGTTGTCCCAGTGACTGACTTCATTCTCCCTTCCAAGTTGGAAGATATCTGATTGGCTGCAATGAGAACAACAGAAAACATAATGAGGCATTCCTTAGTATGGCACCCCTTGCAAAAGAAGAAAACAAAACCTGTGAGCCTCTCCGTAGGCAGCACACTCACCAGGAGGCAGGAAAGCTAGAAGCAGGGCTAGGGCCCACCCCATGCCTTCCTCTCTTGGGCCTTGGAAGGAAAGGGACCAGATGAAGAGGACCACAAGACCCTCTCAAAACTCAGGTCCCACTCAACAAGGAAGTGATCCATGGCACAGAAGGCAGTCGGGGAGCAGGTCTTCCTGAGTTACAGGCAGAGAGAACTGACTAAAGATCTGTCTTAGGGGACTCCCAAGCCTTCCTCCCAGAAGGGGTGGTGCCTGGGAGGACCTGCAGAGCAGCACCTGCCTCTCTGCTCAGGCCCGTTCTCCAGCGCCCTCCTGTGGCAGCTGAGAGCAGGTCCACTGCAGAAGAGAGCCAGGGGCAAGGAGAGCTCAGGCCTGCAGTGGAAGGAGTGCAGACCTGGGGGAAGCTAGTTCTGGAGTTAACAGGCCCAGCCCGTGGACGGGGCAGTGCACAACAGGCTCACACCCTGCACTGTAGCGTTTCCGCAGGTAAAGCCACTGCCATGGCCTCATTCTGCCAGGAAGCTTCTTATTAGGGCCCTGAACCACCTTCCTTTTCGAATCTGCAAGGAAACAGGAGGCAGCACCCAAGGCTACTCTGCTTTATTAACAGGACTGAGGGTGAGGTATGTTCGTGGGTTTGGACTCTCCTCCAAATTCAATGGGTGTGCTGCCGGGGTCGGGGGAAGGGGTGCAGGGGGTCGCTGCATGGGGCCTTGTGGGTGTGGTCTCTTTATTAGAGGATTTTTATGCATTGAATTACGAGTGTGAGTTTTTTGGTTTTTTAAAGTAGTACAGGATGACGTGTCATGCAATATTTGGGACATACTTAAACTAAAAACTTGGTATTTATCTGAACTTCCACATTTCCGGGGTACACGATACTTTATTTGGCAGCCCTACCCTCAGAGCTCAGACTGCTATCTGCAGGGCACCTGGTTTCTCAGATGGAGATCTA